TAGATTGAAGAATAAGGACTATTATTTTATGAAATAAGGACTATTATTTTATGAAATAGATTGAAGAATAAGGACTATTATTTTATGAAATAAGGACTATTATTTTATGAAATAGATTGAAGAATAAGGACTATTATTTTATGAAATAAGGACTATTATTTTATGGAATAAGGACTATTATTTTATGAAATAGATTGAAGAATAAGGACTGTTATTGTATTAAATAAGGACTATTATTGTATGAAATAGATTAAGCAGGTGACATTTTACTTTACTTTTTATTTTATTTTTACTTTAATCTCTATATCTCTCACTCTTTATATTCAACTTAAAACGTTATCTGTTTATAGTGATTCAGTACTTTCGACCGAAAGCTCAAGTTGTAAAAAGTCATAAACCTATCGAAAGTTATGAGGGGTGGGGGAGGTGTATGCTGACCCCTGTATTGACGATGAGGACCATGGCTTTTCTATTCCGACGCCTACGCATAGAATTACAAAAGTAGTAAAAACCACAATTAAAGAAACCCGACACAGATCCGAGTGCTTTCCAAAGGTCTTCTTTCCTCCCATTTCGGTTTCCGAAAATGATTGGGCCTGTATCGTTTTTTTTTTAAACGTAATATCGTTCGTTGTGTGAGTATTCAAAATTGTTTAAATTGAAAGAGACTAGTTCATAAATACTTTGTTAAAAGAATTGATAACAATAATTCATTAAATTAAATTAAAAAAAACAGAATAAATTATCACTGTTAAGTTACGTAATAACGACACACATGTGTTTATGCTTAACAGAAACTTTAGAATTAATATATACGTGTCTTAAATTAACGGTAACAATACCTTCGTCTAACTTATAACGAGCTATATTTAGAAGTAAATCTTCAGTTAAAAATAGGAATTGTTAAACAAAGATAAAAAAAAAAAATCAGCAGCGAACACGATAATTGTTTGTTTCAAAATTTCGTACAAAAGACACAAAAGGGCTATTCCATCAAACTTTTGAAGTAACAGACAACTTTGGAGTATTCGTGTCTAGCCAATTAATACACAAAGGGCGGAGCGCGTTTTTGCAGCAAAGAGTCTTTGGTTCACCACGAAGCCTCTAATTCACAGTCCGAGCAACTTCACCACTAGGACACGCTCGGCCCCATACGTCTTAAAATAAGTGTTGATATTGGTGTCATCGTAAAGGTACTACATGGACACTATAACAACAATGCAACAGTCTATAAAGAAGAAGAAGAATCCTATATATATATAGAATTATATACGTACTTTTCTCTACGTTAAAATACTTTTATTGCGAGCTTTAGGACCTCTTACCGGAGTCTCCATTGGGCAACATTGCATTGTTGCCCGATGAAGGCTCCGGTAAGAGGGCCGAAAGCTCGCAATAAAAGTATTTTAACGTAGAGAAAAGTCCGTTTATAATTCTACATATTAATTTACCTACGTTATGAGTCTTAAACAACAAAGAATCCTATATATTGACCTTCACCTAAATATTCCAGAATGTTAAATCCACATGTTACATGTTACATTCAGTGAGCACTCCCAGTCAGTTTTCTTTAACCATTTTAGTAATTTTAATTTTTTCATTGCTCAGTTAATTGTGTCAGTTAAACGTATTTTGCTCCAGCCTCGTTATTTTTTCTAATTAATTGGGGCTTTTTTTATTATTTGTCGTTTAAAACATCGACTATACCGCAATAACTTCTATTGATCCGTTAATTGCGTGGAAGTGTTTGTATCGACGATTACAATAATGTTTTTTTTTTTAATTTATTCTTTCAAACATTTTAAAATGTAAATTGGTTTATTGTTGATTTGTCTTGCCCCAAATAAAAATGCTCAAGTTCAACTTTTATTTAGTTAACTGAGCCAGACGTGGCTTAGTGATTGGCTACGGGTGATAAGGTCGAAGGTTCGAGCCGCGATGTGCCGATTAACATATTCCACACCTTTAGCCATGAGGATATTAACCCCGTGAAAGTTAATCCTACTACAATAGAGCGCCAATTATCTGGACTAATTGGGACCAAGGGTGGTTCGGATTATTGAACATTATTAAAAAATCATATCTTGAACATATTTATTTTACAACATTTCTCTGATAGCTTTTTACCTGGTTCATCTTTTTTTAACTTGATCACAATGTCTACTTTGTAAATCAACGAAAAACCATTATTCTGAGTTTTTCACCCCAACAAAGAGCAACTTTGATTAAGAAATAAATAAACAGCCCCTTTTTAATTTTTAAGGAAACATAAAGCACGTGCATACTCAATAAGGCTGATGTCACAACTGACGGTTCTGCACGAAGTGATCCAATCATGTTAGGACACCTTTCTGTGTTTTTTTACAAAGAAAATACATACATGTATGTACATATTTTCATTTTCAAGATTTGATCCGGATAATCGGCGTTTTACTGTATTCGCTTCTGAGTAGGAGGGTACTATTGAGTGATTGCCATCCCCCCTTCCTACGGTCAGCAGCTGTATTTAGGGGTAGTCATTTCTGAATCTGGGGGTCTTTTACGTGGCCGTTTAGGTTGAAAATACCAAAAAAAAAAAAGTAGTGAACTTGACTTCGGAAGTACACGCGCTATGTGTCATCCAGGTGTAGTCTGCGTGTGAAGCGAACTGGACACAGAAGGAAGGTTGCTGTCTACACAAATAATGGAACTATTGAAACACCAGAGCTACCTACCTCGCTGTCACAATCAGCATCTGAACACCTGTTCGCTAAATTTTGTTTGGTTTCAATAGAAATATTTCAGTACATGGGAGTAATTTGAGGACCACAGTTTACGAACTCTTCTATAGCTTTTGTCCGTTTCTTAGTTTTTAATTTCTTCTGCTTTGAATCATTCACTGTATTTCAACCATAACGACTGATAGAAATTTAATTACCTTCTGGACTTTTTATTCGTTCAACGTGTGCATACTTAATAAAAGCTCTATTTCTCTCCGCTTAGAGCGAATTTTTAAAGGTTTTTTAAGGATTTGGCCATCTGTTTCCTTACTCATTTCCTTTCATCATTTGTTTTAACTCTATACCAATTGATTATCTGTGGATTACAGGTACTAAACACCTGTCTAAATATACAAGGTTTTTTAGTTGTTTTTTTTCCTTTTCAAAGAATTTCATGTGTTTGTGACAAAAGAATTTCATGTGTTTGTGACAAAAGAATTTCATGTGTTTGTGACAAAAGAATTTCATGTGTTTGTCACAAAAGAATTTCATGTGTTTGTGACAAAAGAATTTCATGTGTTTGTGACAATAAACTCAGTCGTCTAATAGTCTACAAACGGTAACGCTGCAGTTTAGTTGAAAAACACAGTTTACATGCTTGGTAAATTTTAGAACAAACAATGAGAATGTTTAGAACTAGTTCATGGCTTTATCTTTTATCGTTTTACATTTCAGGGATTTCTGAGACAGGCTCTTATTTTTACTAACTTACACGTGGGGGGGGGTAAGAAATTATTCCCATACTTTCTGACATTTTATAATATTAGTTACGACCACACTTACAGAAGCGACTGTATTAACGGCAGAATTACATTAATTGATTTGTTGTATAACAGACAGTGACGTTTCTATAGTTTGTTATAAGGAGGCAAAGAGTCTGGGGGTGGGGCGGGGGGAGATTAACACTAATATCAGTGGGAGTCACAACGTTGGTAATGTTGAAAGCTTAAAAGACTATATCTCAGATGGAAACCTGATGGGTGGAGCATATCTCCTCAATGGGCAGGGGGTGGATCTGCCGCCACTCCGATGGACACGCTCCTGATAACATCCACGAGAAAACAGCCTACCTACGTTGAAATCGTAGTTATGGGTCACAATACCGCCGATAAACCAGATCTCAGCTCCGCGGTTTTGAAGTGTATGATAACATCGTCAAACTACTACTTATCTCCGTCCCTAGACTAGGGATCTCCGCACCCTGTGTCAAATTACTACATATCTCGGTCCCTAGACTAGGGTTCTACGTACCCTATGTCAAACTACTACTTACCTCCGTCCCTAGACCAGGGTTCTACGTACCCTGTGTCAAACTACTACTTACCCCCGTCCCTAGACCAGGGATCTCCATACCATGTGTCAAACTACTACTACTTACCCCCGTCACTAGACTAGGGTTCTACGTACCCTGTGTCAAACTACTTCTTACCCCTGTACCTAGACTAGGATTCTACGTACCCTGTGTCAAACTACTACTTACCCCTGTCCCTAGACCAGGGATCTCCATACCATGTGTCAAACTACTACTACTTACCTCCGTCCCTAGACCAGGGTTCTGCGTACCCTGTGTCAAACTACTA